CCCGAAATGGACGTGGGAGCGGCTCCGAGCCCCGGGGGACCGAGCCTCGCGGGTCTGGCCCCAGAGAGCGCCACCCTTCCCTCTGGGGAGACCCGAAACCGGGACCCCGCAGCCCTTTCTGGGGCTGCGACGACCCACCTGGCACCTCCTCCCCAAGGTGGCACTGCTTGGGTCGGCTGGTACTCTTCCTGCGGCAGGCGCGGCGAGCGAGCGGCGCGACCCACCGGCATAGCATATGGAACCCCGGGACGCACGGCAAGGGACCCGCGGTCCGCTCAGCCCAAATAGGACTGGCCGTCTTTGGGGCCTTCTCGCTTACCGATGGGTTCCTGATCTGGGAACACAAATGGCTGGGAATGGGGGTTTGGGAGTTGAAGGAAGGTAGTTCTCACCCATGTAGGCCGGTCTATTTAAAGGTCTCTGACCCTCAGGGACTCTAGATACTCAAGGGTAATCCGTCCAGCTTACCTCCATAACACACACACACACACACACACACAATGAGGAAAATTATTTTCCCCCATTCACACGAGTCATTCTCCCAGGATACTCTCACCTTTAGAAGAGTCTCTCTCATCCCAAATTCCCCTGCCAGCAGAAAGCTAAGGTTCTTCCCCCAACCCTTAGCTGACCTAGAGATGATGCTCAAATTCAGAATTTCCCTTTCGTCTCTCTCTCTCCTAGCTCCCGGCCTCACGGAAGACCACACTTCAACTCAAGTCACTGCCATAAATCACGGGTTTATAAAACAACGCCTCAAGAGAATGGCTTTCTGTTGGTTAGGGTGAGAAATGGAGTCAGTAGCTCTTATAGGCATAACAAAACAGGGACTTATGACCCACTTATTTTTTCCTGCCTTTTAGAAGCAGAATTGGGGCTACTCCAGTATGCAAAACTCATATTCTCTTGATTTATATTTTACAAGAGAAATCTGTACATATCAAACTGATTGGTATGAATTCATTTTATTTCTTACCTGTTGAAATAGGCTGAAGGGAGCAAGGCTGGCTTGAGAGAGATGGCCCCGAAGTCCAGACCCATCTGAACTAGCTAGCCAATTCATGTGAGGAACGTAGCAAATATGAATGATGATAAACAGGCTTTTCCCGCTCTCACACAGTGTTTTCTTAATGTTTCAACTAGGGCTGACCAAGACCTGATAGACAGGTCCTGAGTTTCAATGACAGCAGGAAGCCTAACTTCTTTGTATCATCTAAGGCAGGGGTGGGGAGGTCTAGCTTTGGGCCTGTATATGGCCCACAAAATCATTAACACCAGCTAACATCAAATACCTCACCAAAGAAAAGCCATTTCAGCCATTACATTAGGGGTGAGTTAATTAAATATTTAACCAGTATGACCCTCAAATAATATTATAAATAACTAAATGGCCCTTGGCAGAAAAAAAAGGTTCCCTATCTCTGGCATAGAAGGACCCTCACTTGCTGGGACTAAGCAACCCGTCTTCCATCTACAAACAAGCCGCCCATGCTAGGTATAGCAGAGGAGCATGGGCTAACCTCCTTGGCAGACATCACCAATCAATTGTGCTACTCTCCTTCAAAGCCCAGTCTCAAGAATGTAAGCTTCAGAATTGTTCTCAGCATACTGCTCCAGAGAAAAGTAAACCACACCCACTGCCATCAAGTCAATTCTGGTTCCATTCCAACACACAGTGACCCTACAGGACAAAGTAGAACCACCCCATAGGGTTTCCAAGGCTGTTATCCTTACACAAGAGCCCTTGTGCCATAGTGTTCTCTCACTGAGCTGCTGCTGACTGCAAGGTCAGCACTTCAAAACCACCAACTTCTCCTCGGGAGAAAGATGAGGCTTTCTACTCCCATGGTGTCCTACTCTGTCCTGTAGGGTTACTATAAATTGGAATTTGCAGTTTGGGGAATCTACACAGAAGCAGACTTCACGCCTTTCTCTTGCGGGGCAGCTGTGAGTTTGAATCACGGACCTTTTAGTTAGCTGAGCACTCACCCACTGTTCTGTCAGGGTCTGTCCTTTCTGGAAACAAAAAATCGAAACTCCTTGCCATTGAGTCAGTTCTGCCCCTGTGGGTTTCTGAGACTAAATAAGTTATTCAATGTACATTATTTTTATTGACATATCTTACACATTCCAGTATATCCATTCACATATAATTCAGTTGTTCAATCCCAGCGAGTGGAGTTTTAGAGTCATCAGTGCTGTCGGCTCTCCTCCCGTCCATCCCCACTCCCCAATCTCTCCTTGTACCCTCAGGGAACCAATACTCCTGTCACTGTTTCTGAGGGTCATCTATCTTGACTTCCATGTACTGAGCAATCTTAAATATACAAACGAACATGCACAAATCTAACCTGATTAATGAGGTACAGCACATAGTCCTTAGTAGTAAGGGGAGGAAATCTTAAAGAACTAGAGGATAGTTATGTGATTCATTAGTGCTATACAGCACCCTTGATTTATTATCCATTCCATGTGGCCCTTCTAAGAGGGACTGCCCAATTATCTTTCAAGTGGATTTTGGGTCTACATTGCATTCACATCCCTTCACATTAATCTGCGTGTTTTTGAACTTTGATACCTCTTTTTATCAACACCTTATGATTATGTGCTTTTGCATGTGGACTTTGTTGCTTCCCTGCTAGGTGGCCGTTTGTTTAATTACAAGCCCTTAAGATCCCAGATGCTATATTTTTTGATAGCCAGGCACTGTCAGCTTTGTTCACCACATCTGCTTATATACCCATTTTGTCAGAGTGTAAATCTTTATGGCATCAGACCTTCTCTTTCTCCTGAGGAGCAAACTGGTGGATTCAAACTGTGGCCTTGTGGTTAGCAGCCCCACATGTAAACCACTATGCTACCAAGACTCTGTTTCTTGCTGGAGGAATGCTAATGACAAGATTTTGTAGAACTTGATGTTTATTGAGAAATCATTATAAAGTCTCCCTAGTGTAAACTAAAAAAAGATAACAATCTCTGATAGCTATCTGAGTCCTATATAAAGTTGGGGCCTGCAGTATCTTAAGCCCTAAAGCAACTATCCCAGGGTGCTGTTCAGAACTTGGAGGCCAGGTTGACAATTCTTTCCTAGTCCATCGTGGTGCCAAACAAGGCCTTTACTATCTCGACTCTTCCACACATACCTCCTTCCCTACATACTTCATGGGTGAGTTTTTTACGCAATAAATATCAAGCATTTATAAGATATAAATCATGGAGGAAGAAAAGAAATAAAAATCTCCGGGCCTACTGGAGATCCCCTTGCAGAGGGGTCTCGGGGAGGAGATGAGCCAGTCAGGGTAGGATGTAACAATGATGAGAAATACAATCTTCCTCTAGTTCCTAAAGGTTTCCTCCCCGCTCCCACTACCATGACTCGAATTCTATCTTGCAAGAGCTGGCTAGACCAGAGGAGGTACACTGGTACAGATAGGAACTGAAAATACAGGGAATCCAGGACGGATGAGCCCTATAGGACCAGTGGTGTGAGTGGCAAAACAGGGAGGGTAAAGGGAGAATGGGTAGGAAAGAGGGAACCGATTACATGGAACTGTGTGTGACCTCCTCCCTGGGGGACAGACAACCGAAAAGTGGACGAAGGGAGACGTCGGACAGGGCAAGATATGACAAAATACCCATTTATAAACTATCAAGGGCTCATGCCGGAGGGGGGAGCGGGGAGGGAGGGGAAAAATGAGGACCTAATGTCGGGGGTTTAAATGGAGAGAAAATGTTTTGAGAAACGATGTACAAATGCGCTTTACACAATTGATGTGTGTATGGATTGGGATAACAGTTGTATGAGCCCCTAATAAAATGTCAAAAAAGAAAAAATAAATAAATAAAAAAGTAAATATAAAAAAATAAAAAAAATCTCCGGGCCTCTGGCAAGATCTGGGTGCTGGTAGTTCTATTCCTTAAGATCAGATGGGATTTAGGAGGAAAAGCACACTGCCTAGAGAAATAGTCTCCTTGCCCCTTTTGCTGCTTCCAGATTGAAAAGTACCTCCTTTCAGACTGCAATACCTGCTACACCAGCCTCTGCCTATTCCCATCCCTATCATTTACCTTACCACCTTCCTGGGCATTCCAATGCATTCATCAAGAATTTCTGCACCCAGCAGTCCTTTCCACCCAGTGCCTTCCAACATCCTTAGTGTCCGTCCATATTCATGATTCATATAGGTGAAGCATCTACCAGCCCAGTTCCTTGACTTCTGTTTCTCTACATA